TAGAATATAAATAAATAACTTTTAGTGAAAAAGGAAAAATGATAAATCTGATTTACTAGAAAATTGCTAAATTGGCAATGAGTGTTATGTTCACTCTCTTGTATCATGTATTCATTCATATGAAAAGACAACTCGAATGTTCAGAAATCGGTTTTGATGGAATAAAAAAATAGACCCTGCGATAAAAATAAAAAATCTTTGTTTCACATATTTGCACTGAATGAAAATTCAAAAGCTGTTGTACAACTCATTCTTTCTGAGATGCACTTAGTCATCATTTACAAACAATATTTTCATTCTATTTTTATTTATTCTATCCCTATCATTATTTGGTTGGCTGTTTTTATGAACACCACCACGTCTAATCAAAATGCATGAAATAAATAACATATCGGCACTTTTAACTTTTGTTTGATTTCCTCAACATTGTAACAAATTACGATGACATTTACAATATATTTAGATGATTTACCAGAAAAAGAATAAAATACGAAGAAATGGATATAAAAGTGAGTTTTTGGTCAATGTAACAGAACATAACATCACAATTAAACAGATGTTTTGGTGAACATTTTGTATGTTCTTATCATCGACTAACGTTTATTTTTCTGTAAGAAATAAAACTATAAATAAGTTGAGAAGTCGATGCATCATGTATCCAGATTTTGACAATACGCCGACTGAAAAGTTTTTGGTGGAAAAGACACAATTGTTAAATCCTGGTGGTTTTGTCTGTGTTGTAGATAATCAGCTGATTGTCTACCGCGGCAAAGCTTTATTTATTGATCGGACCTACGAAAGTCTGCAAAATGTTCCTGTGCTCCGTGCACAGTTCTTAAAAAAGCACTTCGGTATTGTGCATGTTCTAAAAAAAAATATAAAACCAAAAAAAATAGTAAAAAATAAAAATAACAAAAAAAGTAAACGGGCACACCAAGTGGCGTAGCCGAGGTGCAAGCCGAAAGTTTACACACACTTTTAAAAGTTATAATGCGTCTGATAAACCATCTTCTTCCATCAAGGAAGCTGTTGTTAAACCGTTTGCTAAGCCGTTTACAAGGCTGCAAAAATTTATTATGGAGACTTGGATCGACAAGATGAAGAGTGGCGAAAAAGTAACGTCGATTAAAAAGGAAGTCGAGGAGTTTAAAAGGAAATGTGCGCTGGAAAAGGCACAAGCCAAGATATCCGCCACACTTAAAAAACAAGTGCAGGTTACAATGCCGAACTACGAGCGCAGACACTGCATTGTAGTTCAAAAAAATACTATGCCCTTCTCATTTGGCGAAACAAATGCAAAAGAGACGAAAAAACAGATTGACAGCCCATCAATCTGTAACAAGAAAATATGTAAAAAACAAAAAAAGGCAAAAAAAATAAAAAAACGAAAAAAAATATTAAAGTT